CATGAAGAATTCCGGTGGTTCTTGTAATAGTCTTAGTTGCCACCAACAAGTCTGTGGTGTAAACCACCGAGCCTCTTGGGATTGCTGATTAGAAGGTCAGTGGTTCAATTTCCCATGACAGGGTGAGCTCCCGTTGCTTTGTCTCAGCTCCTGCCAACCTAGCAGTTTGAAAGCACGCCAGTGCAAGTAGATAAATGGGTACCGCTCCAGCAGGAAGGTAAACGGCGTTTTCGTGCACTGCTCTGGTTTGCCTGAAGCGGCTTAGTCATGCTGGCCACATGACCCGGAGGCTGTATGCCGGCTCCCTTGGCCAATAAAGCGAGATGAGCACCGCAACCCCAGAGTCGGCCACGACTGGACCTAATGGTCAGGGGTCCCTTTACCTTTACCTATGACTGTATTGGCAGATATCGTTTAGAAGTCCCACTTCTAGTGCAACCTAGACCTCCTCCTCCTCCTCCTCCTCTCTCCTCTCTCTTCCCTTTGTTCTGTCCAAGTTTTGCAGCAGAGGTGGGGAGGAAACAACATCTCTTAATTGCTCCCTTTCACAAACGGTTCCCCTTAGGAAGAGAGAGTGGCAGCAGAAGGTAAGTTAAGATGTGAGAGCTGCAGGTATAATGATGCATTTGTGCCCGGGGGCCTTCACTGATACCTTTATCAAAAGCAAGGGGTGTGTGTGCGAGTGCCAGAGCCCAGCTTCACCAAGAGCATTCATCAATTACATTTGAAATCAAATGGGGAATTTATGGTAAGCTACTGCAGCGCACAGCTAACAATTTAAAAGCCTCTTCCTATCAATCAAAATGTTCTGAGCCAAGGGGGCGGCAAAGGTGAAAGCTCAATGTTGTATGGCACTCAGACCCTGTCTATAAGTCTTTATTATAACCAAAATAAGACCAGAGTCAGGGTGAGGTCCTCAATTAATTTTGAACACAGCTTATTTATTTACTTCTCTGCTTTTCTTCGCTTGTCTAATTCCTCCTGCGGCAGAGCAGAGTCGGTGCCATCGAGTCCTTGTGGTTAGAAAATTAGAGTTGATGAGCAGAAGAACATACATGAAACAGACTCCCTTGGGAGATTGTGGACTCTCCTTCCTTGGTGGTTTAGAGGCAGAAGTTGAATGGCCATCTGTAAGGGCTGCTTTAGCTGAGATTCCTGCATTGCAGGGGGTTGGAGTCAGGAGTTCAGCCTACACTCGAGTAGGACCCTGGTGGAGACACATGCCCGACTGGCATGTTCTCTTCCTCCTGCTTGATCGTTCGGGAGCTTCACAAGCTTTCTTCAGCCCGAACATCACAGCAACTGATGCCAACTGACACCGGCACACTTAGGGATCCACAGAGTTTGCGCAGTTTGCGTAACAGACCTCAGCAACTCAGTATTTTGGCTAATCTACTTTACTTACATATAAACACATACAGAGCACTGCAACATGGCTCCCTCTCTCTCTCTAGCATCAGACAGCAAAGAGAAAAAGAATAAAGGACAATAGTCCCACTTCACGGAACACAGTAACACAAACTTCCTGTCTCCGTCACATCCCACTCTGTGGAGTCAAAACATACCGTCATGTGAAAGACAACAATCCCATGACTGCAATCATGGAGCAGGAATTCTAACAGCTGGATGAGATGACTCTCGGTGTCCCTGCCAACTGGACACTTCTAGGATTCTATGATTCTAAGAGGAGCCTGCTGGGTCAAGCCAATGGCCCATTTAGTCTTGCATCCTGTTCTCACAACCAGTTGCCCCAATGGGAAATCCACAAGCAGCATTGACTCTCCTATCCCAGAGCTCTTTGCAAGCACCTTACCTGTTTGTTACATTTACATAGTGCGCCCTGCAAGGAGCTTAAAGAGCAGGCGGTGAGGTCAGGTTGTCAAATCTCCACCACACCTGGCAGTCTTCTAGTCCAGGGCTGGCCTAGAAGACTTGAAGTTCTTCAGGACTTTGCATATCCCTGAACCGGGTTCAGCAACATGTGGGCAACCACTGAAGATGTCGTAGCAAAGGTATCACATGCTCACATGCTGCCAGCAGTCTGCCCCCACCAGCATGGTTGGGATTGATGAGAATCTAATGATGTCTCAACAAATATATACCTGAAGAAGTGTGCATGCACATGAAAGCTTATACCCGGAACTAACTTAGTTGGTCTCTAAGGTGCTACTGGAGGGACACGGGTGGTGCTGTCGGTTAAACCACAGAGCCTAGGACTTGCCAATCAGAAGGTCGGCGGTTTGAATCCCCATGACGGGGTGAGCTCCCGTTGCTCGGTCCCTGCTCCTGCCAACCTAGCAGTTCAAAAGCGCATAAAAGTGCATGTAGATAAATAGGTACTGCTCTGGCGGGAAGGTAAACGGCATTTCCGTGCACTGCTCTGGTTCGCCAGAAGTGGCTTAGTCATGCTGGACACATGACCCGGAAGCTGTACACCAGCTCCCTCAGCCAATAAAGCGAGATGAGCGCCGCAACCCCAGAGTCGGCCATTACTGGACCTAATGCTCAGGGGTCCCTTTACCTTTAAGGTGCTACTGGACAATTTTTTTATTTACTTCCTCTGTGTCAGACCAACACAGCTACCTACCTGAATCTACAAATATATACCGTATTTTTTCATGTATAAGACAATGTTTTTTGCTGACTTTTTTCAGTCAAAAATTGTGGGTCATCTTACACATGGAATGTGAATGCAGGGTGGGCGGGTGGTGGGAGCCGAAAGCTTGGCTGCTGTCAGGCGACAAGGCGGAAAAAGAAAGGCGCTTGCACACGCCCAAAGGCATCATTTCCCCCTCAGCCGGGAGTGAGCCTGGTGCATGGCGCCCAAGCTTCACGAGGTATCTTGTAGAAGCCCCTCTAGTGCGGGACTGAAGAAGACACCTTGTCACCCTGCCTGTCCCTCCCACCTTCCAATTTTTTTGCCCAACCTTCCCTGCCAAGGTTCCGAAGTCTGGTGACGTCAGCGGTGTGGCTGCCAATCCGCGCTGAAGGTGTTATTTTGGGGAGAGGAGCAGGTGGCTTTTCCAGTTCCAATACCTACCTGCTTCGCCTTGCTCAATCCATGGAGAGGTGACTGGCATGCAAGTGCCCCTGGATCACTCCCAGCTCCAGCAGCTCTGATCTTGGGACCTGGGCATTGCCACAGTCTCCAGGCAGAGCAGGATTGGGCAGGTTGTGGCTTATGCTGCAAAGAACTTGAGGTCAACGGATTGGCCCCCCTCTCTTCCACTCACCCTAGATCCTGCACGCTTTCTGCCTGGGCTTGAAGGGGATCTGTTGGGTTGAAATAAACGACAGACGAATGGCAAGGTGTCATATGGGAGGCATCTCCCGAGCAAGTCTCGGGGAGTCCCTTTTATTGAATATTACAGCATTACCACATATGTGCTTGTTGCTGAATGGTTAACACAAATACAATGCAAAGGTTGAATATAAGCATTAATCACCAATAGATTAAAGGTTGGGAAAGGGAACACAGAATTGGACAGGCGTGAAACCTCCTTATTAAACTATTAACTAGTGATTGATTATCAAGACTTAAACTATTACTAATGATTGATATTGCATGACATGAAAGAACATAACAATCGCGTTCCGTAGATGTGGTCAACAATGCGTTAAGAACAGGTCAGGGTACTGAACTCAATGTGAACTGATCAGAACATTCCCAGACTCATGTGCAGAGGCAAAAACTTCCCAGCAGGGATCTCCCCCAAAAAGCTCCCCTCGGCACTTTAACTGAAAAAAAGTTGGTTTGTCTGATGTTTAAAATATTGATTTCATAATTTTGGGTTCTAAAAAGTAGGGACCATCTTATACATGGGAAAATACGGTGATTCTTAACACTGCTGCAGGAAATGGCAAACTGTATGCAGGAGCTTAGGAGCGCTGACTTGCCCCCCCCACACACACATTGAGGGAGCCTAGTGTCATGTGACCCACCCCACTCCTGCCTGGTGCGCCAGCATTCGCCAATCAGCTGCAGGGAGTGCGGAGGGTGAAAATCGCCCTTCTCACCTCCCGCTCCCACCCAGCGGGCCAACGCTTGCCCAGGGACAGCAGGAGATGGCATCCCCCTCAATATTGGGGGATTCAGCCCCCTGCCAAGAAATATTAAGGGACCTTTCTGCCCCCTATAGTTGACACCCCTGCAGGAGTTGATTTAAATTCCTACTTTAATTTCCTGGCACATGATGGGGCTTGAGTCTTGCTGAGCTCAAGTTTCAGCCTTTACTTTATTTATCATCTCCTGCCCCACCCCACGAAAAGGAATGATAAAGGCGTCCATCAATCCAGGACAGATTCCAGCCAATGAAATGAATGGAATAGAATGAATGATGTTTGGCCCAGCTCTTGAGAGATGATGGCTTTTTTCAACACTTTACTTACCCAGAGGTTTAATCCAGTCCCAGGAGAAGGAAGAATCAGGAAGAGTCTTTGATGCAAGAACTCTCACACGACGCAGCTCAGCTTTGTTATAGCAGTCAGAATAAACAGTAGGACCAGTGGATTATTTGCCTAACATTGAATGACTTATGTGGTGTGTCAATGTTAACACCCAAGAGAATAAAAGTGCACCAGAAACGACTCTCTAATTACTCTTTTCAGATGAAGTAATGATCTTTAATGTGCAGTGGATCTCATTAATTAACTCTCAGACTTTAATTAACTCCTTGCCTAATTCACCTGCCATCATGCATTACTGCAAACGTCAACTTAACAGAGTTTTTCTTTTCTCTTTGCGGTTGTGGGGGTGGGGGGAAATAGGAGGGGGAAAACATACATTCTGGAAAGGAGTTCTTAGTCTAAGATTTGTGGCAAACAGGAATATGAAGTTCAACCCTGAGCAGTTTTGTTTCTTTTATGAACTTCCTTTGTGGCTTCCAATTTGGGAGCAGAGGAATTGCCTTATATCGAATCAGGCCATTGAGCCATCTAATTCAGTACTGTCAGCACTGAGTGGCAGCTGCGCTCAGACAGGGGACATTTCCAGTCCTAACTGCAGCTGCTGGGGATTGAACCGAAGACCTTCTGCATGCCAAGCAGGTGCTCTCCCACTGAGCCAGCACTCTTCCACTCTCCTGCTCAGATATCTGACCAAGCAGAAGCTTTTGCGTTTCCCTTGAAATCCCTCTGATGTTTTGTGCAATAAGGAACCTGCCATGCACACTTAGAAGAAATTCTGTGTAAATATAATTTTTTGTCCAAAATGTATAAATTGCTGCTTGAATGGCATTTGAAGGATGAGGAGGTAAAGTCAGTAATGATTCATTGGGACAAAGATATTGGGTATAATATACAGTTGAATGATTGGGGAAAACTATGGAATGAAGGTTTAAAATTTACTGCATGCAATGCCTTAAAGGAAAATGTGATGAAAATGATGTATAGATGGTATATTACACCCGTTAAATTAGCTAAAATGTATAAAGTTAGCAATAAATGTTGGAAATGCAAAGAAAAAAGGGAAACATTTTGTCATATGTGGCGGGAATATAAAAAGGTGAAAAACTTCTGGGAGATGATATATAATAAGATGAAAAAAATGTTGAAATATACATTTATTAAGAAACCAGAAGCATTTTTACTTGGCATTGTAGGAGAGGATATAAACAGAAAGGATTGTAAGTTGTTTTTATATGCAATAAAAGCCAGTGTGGTGTAGTGGTTAAGAGCGGTAGTCTCCTAATCTGGGGAACCGGGTTCGCGTCTCCGCTCCTCCACATGCAGCTGCTGGGTGACCTTGGGCCAGTCACACTTCTTTGAAGTCTCTCAGCCCCACTCACCTCACAGAGTTTGTTGTGGGGGAGGAAGGGAAAGGAGAATGTTAGCCACTTTGAGACTCCTGAAGGGGAGTGAAAGGCGGGATATCAAATCCAAACTCTTCTTCTTCTTCTTCAATGACGGCAGCAAGAATATTATTGGCACAAAAATGGAAGCAAGAAGAATTACCGACAAAAGAAGAATGGAGGATGAAATTGATGGACTATGCAGAATTGGATAAACTAACCAGAAGAATTTGAAACCTGAGGGACCAGAGATTCACAGAAGACTGGTGTAAATTTACGGACTATTTGAAAAGTAATTGTGATGACCAGATTACATTTGTAGGTTTGCAAGAAGTTTTGTGAGGTAAATTATTTGAATTATTGCAAAAATGGTTAAAGAGGTGGATTGTAAGTTAAGATAATCAAAGGCAATAGGAATTTAAGAAATGCAGAAGAAATGATAAAAATGGTGGATCATCAGAGGTGCTGATGGAAGTCCAAAAAGATTGTATAAGATGTGAAGTTCTGTGGAATGTATAATAATTGGTATGTTGAAATTAATAAAAATTATATCTATAAGAAGAAATTCTGTGGTTGTAATAAAAAGAGAACCCCAACCTAATTGCCTGCTCTGCGAACCTTAAACACAAAAAGTTGATTCTGTGGTTAGGGCCATGTGGCAGTGTGGCACAAGTCAGCATTAAGTGGCAAAACATGGGCCGCTGAATTCATTTATGTATGTGCACTGTGAGGCAGCAGTGGTAGAAAAATGGATTCCTTATTGTGTGGCAAGGCCCCGGGCCCCGCAGTTCCCTTAGACATGGACACGAATGTTTAGGTTAATCAGATAAAATAGGCCACAACTTTATTGGTTGCAGATGTGAGTGGTTTGGCTTGGGCATTTGGTGAAATCAGACTTTATCACGACTCCTGCCCGTCTGCAGGGAATCCCACTAAGGGTAAACCAACAGTAGGGGGAGCCCTATGACATACAGTGGTACCTCTGGATGCGAACGGGATCCGTTCTGGAGCCCCATTCGCATCCTGAAGCGAACGTAAAATGCGTCTGCGCGTCTGCATGTGCTGCGTTTCGCCTCTTCCGCGCATGCGCATGACGTCATTTTGAGCATCTACGCATGCACGAGCGGCGAAACCCGGAAGTAACATGCTCCGTTACTTCCGGGTCACCGCGGAGCGCAACCCGAAAATATTTAAGCTGAAGCGTATTCATCCCGAAGTATGACTGTACATCAAATTGAGGCACGCCGAGGGGTCTCCAATGGGTTGTGGCATGGCCCTAGCCCACAACCTGGCTTTGGACAGGATCCACACCCCCAGATCCCTTTAACAGGATACCCTTATCGAGGAGGGGCAGGCAGAGGCTACAACCTCCCCTCCATTAATAAAAGGCTTACCCAATGCCTAACCTCACAAAGTTGTGCCAATTGCTACAAGGGACGCGGGTGGCGCTGTGGGATAAACCACAGAGCCTAGGACTTGCCGATCAGAAGTTTGGCGGTTTGAATCCCCATGACAGGGTGAGCTCCCGTTGCCCGGTCCCTGCTCCTGCCAACCAAGCAGTTCGAAAGAATGTCAAAGTGCAAGTAGATAAATAGGGACTGTTCTGGTGGGAAGGTAAATGGCGTTTCCATTCGCTGCTCTGGTTCGCCAGAAGCAGCTTAGTCATGCTGGCCACATGACCCGGAAGCTGTACGCCGGCTCCCTCGGCCAATAAAGCGAGATGAGCGCCGCAACCCCAGAGTTGGTCACGACTGGACCTAATGGTCAGGGGTCCCTTTACCTTTACCTTTAAGCGAAAACCAAATGGCTGGTGCCGTTTGCCAAGTGGAAAAAATCCTACCTGGCCCCAACAATATGGCAGCCAACATTTGTCCATATAAAGGCCAAAATCAAGCAATGCATAAAAAAGAGGGAGGGTGGGTTGGGAGATCCTGCGAGGAGGTGAAACGAGGTCGCTCCTCGGCTGTGCCACAATTTAAACTGCAAGCAGCCACGCCCCGGGCTATCCTGATGGTGAGCTGGGGGGCATGTCCCGATGACACAGGCGGCATCCCTCCACCCACAGGGAGGTCCCAGATGCCCTCACGAAATGCCACTCCCCCCCAGGGAAGGGGAGCGGTTTTGCTGAGAAATGTTTCGGATAGGTCTGAATTGAAATGGCTACTTTCCTTTGTGACTTTGTTTGAAGGTGAGAATGGGCTATCCTTTAATCAGTAGAATCAGATTGTGGATTCATCAGAGTGACTCCCCAATGATCCAAAATCTGAAAAGATGGAATTTGGAGTACCCTGGAACAGAAGGAGTGATGCAGGTGACAAATTCAGGATGCAGGATGGACGACAATGCTTTCTTACATCCCTAAGAGAATAATTGGGTGCGCTCTTCCCACCTTGGATCAAATCTATGCTTCCAGGTGCCGTAAGAAAGCTGCAGAGATAGAACAGGATAGTGCGCACCCCGGAAATGATCTCTTTCAGCTTCTGCCTTCTGGAAGAAGGTCCAGGGTTATAAAGACTAGGACTAGCCGCCTGAGAAACAGTTTCTATCCAAATGAGATTTTGGTTTTAAACGCAGTGTAAGAAGTCTCTATGGGAGTATATTGTATTTAAAAATGGGGTATCAGAGTTTTTAGGGGGCTAACCAGGTTGGGATAGCTGGGATAGCAGGCTTTTGGGTTTTGAATGTCTTATGTAGATTTTTTAATTTCGTTGTTCTGTATGGGACAATGGCAATAAAGATTATTGTATTGTATCGTATCATAAGCCGCTTCTTCACTCAGTGTATGGTTAAACTATGGAACCCACAAAAGGAAGAGATGGCCACTCATTTAGGTGGCTTTAAAAGAGAAGAAAAGAAAAGACAAAGAAGTTCCGATGAAAGAGGAATGGCTACAGAAATTAATGGACTATGCAGAAATGGCAAAAATTGCCGGAAGAATAAGAAATCAACAGACTTTTTTTATTATCAAGGAAAGGAAATCGTTTATTGAACAAACAAATTGTCAACAAATCATATAATTGGCATATAATTTGGATAAGAAAATTGGCTTCCAGGTGGAAAAATCAAAATTAGAAACAGGATTGTTAGAACCCAAAACTAAGAATTTGTCAAGAATGTATAACTTGCTGCTGAAATGGAATACTCAGGATGAAACGGTGAAATCTGCTATGATTAAATGGGCACAAGATGTTGGCCATAATATTATGTTTGCTGACTGGGAACAGTTATGGACCACAGGTATGAAGTTTACGGCATGTAATGCCTTAAGAGAGAATATTATGAAAATGATATACAGGTGGTACATGACCCCAGTCAAGCTTGCAAAAATCTATCATTTGCCCGATAATAAATGTTGGAAATGTAAAGAAACTGAAGGTACATTCTTTCACCTTTGGTGGATGTGCCCAAGGATTAAGGCTTTCTGGGAGATGATTTATAATGAAATAAAAAGGTATTTAAATATACCTTTCTGAAGAAACCAGAGGCCTTTCTTCTGGGCATTGTCGGCCAATTGGTGCCAAAGAAGGACAGAACCTTTTTATGTATCCTACAACAGCAGCAAGAATACTCATCGCAAAGTATTGGAAGACACAAGATCTACCCACTCTGGAAGAATGGCAGATGAAGGTGATTGACTACATGGAATTGGCGGAAATGACTGGCAGAATCCGAGACCAGGGAGAAGAGTCGGTGAAAGAAGACTGGAAGAAATTTAAAGACTATTTACAGAAATATTGTAAAATTAAGGAATCTTAGAAGGATGTTGGATAGAAACTAAGTGGTTTTTAGCTGTAATGCTTTAAGAGATATGAAAAAAGGTTTACAAATGGGTAAAAGCTTAATGGTAAGGATTTGCTGAACTAACAAACTGAACTGGAATACAGAAAAGGGAGGTACAAGGAGGTCCGGGGAAATAAGTGTAAGGAAGATAGGTTATGGAAAATTAATGTCTCTTTAACTGTTTTATTTTGTATGTTTCTTTTTATTTTTTACTTTTTTGTTATATTTTAAAAACTTTTTTTTTTCTGTATTCTGTATTTCTTGTATTTTTTGAAACCTTAATAAATATCATTTAAAAAAACAAAACAAATCAGGACATTAGCAGGATTGCTGTAAAAACTTGCAGTTTCTATTTCATCTGTATGAAATAGATGAGAAAAAGAATAAATAGAGTTAATTGGGATATGAAGAAGGGGAAAAGAAGAAGGTAAATTCGTGGAACTGCTGAAAGAGGGGGAGGGAAGACGAAGTTCAATATGTGATAATGGTTTTAATTCC